TGTCCAGGACAGAGCTGGGCGCCAGGTCCGCGCCACCGCTGCCCTTCCACCTCCTGTTCCGGGGGCGTGGCTTGGCGCGAGGGCGGGTTTAAGTCGCCGCGGGTGTCTGCCCGCTCTGACAGGTCTCCAAATTCCTCCCTGTCGCCAGGTGCCCGCAGCACACTTCAGAGCGCCAGGGTGGCACGCGGCGCTTCCCTGGATCCGGTGGCGACTCAGCGACTTCCCCGCGGCCTCAGGCCTCCCTTCTTGCCCAAACCTTACAGCCGCCGCACCTAGCCCAGCTTCGGTCCTTAGCCTCAGGGATCTGCAACGGCGGCTTCGCTTCGTTCCCAGAGCTGTTGGCTTTGGAGCCCTCTACCACTTTTTCCTGCCCTCGCCTCCCGCTGCTCCCAGTTCCGGGCCTAATGGACTCCAAGGAGCGAGGTGAAGGGGGTGAGAACTGTGCCCCGCGACCCCTCGGAAGCACAGCTGGAAGGGCTGACTTCGTCGTATAGCCGCGACTGGAACCCCCTTCCCCGAGGGATGAGTCCGGCCAGAACCAGCGCTGCGCTCTCAGTCTTCGCTCAGGAAGTGGAGGCAGCCAGAAATAAACCAGGGAGGGAGCTTCAGCACATCCCCTCTTCCGAATTAACTGTTCGGTGACTTGTTAGCCCTGAGGCTACCACCTCTCCAATCCTCCCGCGGGGCACCCGCCACCTTACGGTCTCCCAATCCTCCCCCATCATTGCCCCCGCCCCAAGCTCCGCCCCGGCTCCCCATCCCGGCGCAATGGAGTTCTCTGAAGGGCTCAGTTCCAGCCACAGCTGCTAACTTCTTACCCATCTGCGCCGCCGGTCACCCTCGACCAGCCCCCCTGCAGCCGCCGAGTCGTGGGCGTCCCGAGCCCAGTGCCGCAGCCAGGACCCGCCCGGCGCGCAGCTGAAGCACTGAGCCCAGGCTCCTGGGCGCCTCTTGGAGAGCAAAGGCTGCGCCAAGACGCTGAGTCGAGAACCAGCCAGGAAGCCAGAACCAGAGAAGGGGGCTACGCGGCTCAGAGCGCCGCGTCTTCTGCGGACAAATAGCCACAGCAGCCACGCACCCAAGCTGCGCGGGCTGGCCGGAGGGCGACGCGCGAGGACGCAGGGGTCTGCGGCGATCTTCCAGACGCCCTTTGCCCCCGGGCGCACTATGACCTGACGTGCGGGGGCCTCCTGCCCAGGGCGGCCGGGGATTGAAGGGCTGGCCGCCCAGCTCCCACCACGCCGCCTTTGGGGCTTTAGGAACCCCCTCCTCTCCCCCCCGCGGCCTCCCCGGGTTCTGCGCCTCCCTCCCGGCGGCCCGGCGCCATGGAGCTCTCCGATGTGCGCTGCCTCAGCGGCAGCGAGGAACTCTACACCATCCACCCGACGCCCCCGGCCGGCGACGGCGGGAGCGGCTCGCGGCCGCAGCGGCTGCTGTGGCAGACGGCGGTGCGGCACATCACCGAGCAGCGCTTCATTCACGGGCACCGGAGCGGCGGCGGCGGCGGCGGCGGCGGCGGCGGCGGGAGCGGAGGCTCCTGCAAAGCCTCGGACCCTGTAGGCGGCGGCCCCAACCACCACGCGTCGCAGCTGTCCGGCGACTCAGCGCTGCCCCTCTACTCGCTGGGCCCCGGGGAGAGAGCGCACAGCACCGGCGGCACCAAAGTCTTCCCGGAACGCAGCGGGAGCGGCAGCGCCAGGGGCAGCGGGGGCGGGGGCGACCTGGGCTTCCTGCACCTCGACTGCGCCCCGAGCAACTCGGATTTCTTCCTCAGTGGGGGCTATAGCTACCGAGGGGTCATTTTCCCCACCCTGCGCAACTCCTTCAAGTCCCGGGATCTGGAGCGCCTCTACCAGCGCTACTTCCTGGGCCAGAGGCGCAAATCGGAGGTGGTGATGAACGTGCTGGACGTGCTGACCAAACTCACCCTCTTGGTTCTCCACTTGAGCCTGGCCTCGGCCCCCATGGACCCGCTCAAGGGCATCCTGCTGGGCTTCTTCACTGGCATAGAGGTGGTGATCTGCGCCCTGGTAGTGGTCAGGAAGGACACCACCTCGCACACGTACTTGCAGTACAGCGGCGTGGTCACCTGGGTGGCCATGACCACCCAGATCTTAGCCGCAGGTCTCGGCTACGGGCTGCTGGGGGACGGCATCGGCTACGTGCTCTTCACGCTCTTCGCCACCTACAGCATGCTGCCGCTGCCGCTCACCTGGGCCATCCTGGCCGGCCTGGGCACCTCCTTGCTGCAGGTAGTCCTCCAAGTGGTCATCCCCAGGCTGGCGGTCATTTCCATCAACCAGGTAACTCCTGTCTGCCTTGCTCGTCCGGTGACTTCCCCCGGGGTGTTTTAGAAATAGCTTTCTAAGAGGCAGGATGGCCTGGCCCACTTGGAGTCCCCTCCCCCAGCCTGGCACAGTGCCTGGCACCTAGGAGGCCCTGGGCATTGTTGCGATGGTATTTCTCTCTTCTTAGAGGAACTGGAACTAAATGACCCCTGAAGTTTCTACCAACTCTACCCTTCTACTCTGGTTCTGTGAGTAATTCTTCTGTGACCTTAGCTAAGAAGTCGCCTACTTTCTGCTTCTGCTCCTCGCCCATCCCCCAGGGTCTGTAGTCTCTGGAGCAGGAGACAGCAGGGGCGGAGAAGCACCCCGATTTAGAAGGTGACCCATTCCTTAACAGCTCCACTCGTGAGAGTTAACAGCAGGGTGTCGTAAGGGACTCTGGGATTCGGAGCTGGGTTTCTCTGAATCTCTGTGCCACGGATCCTCAGTTCTCAAAGGAATCAAAATTTGTTAAACGTGTAGTAATTGCTGGTGCTGGGTATCCAGCTTACGTTATCTCAGGCAGTCCTTCAGACAACCCTATGACACACGTTTTATTCGGGAATTCTTCGTTGCCTTGGGGATTTAAGACGTTATCTTCTCTTGTTACAGGATCCAACCCCAAAGCTTTTGGAAAAATCAGCCTCAGGAACTGGGGCTGGAGTGGGGGGGATAGTGTCATTGGCAAAGAATGCAAGTTTTGCTTAGTTGAAAAGCAGCATTTTGATGTAGATGGTTTGAAATATTTAGGTGGAACCTGACTCTTTAGGTCTCTTTCTCCTTTCTCCCCCTTTCTTCCTATCTTTCCTCATTAAATATGAATGAGTTTATGTGAACAGAGTTCTCATTGTCTGCGAATGAGGAGGTAGATGATGACTCTTTTGTTTAAACTCATTGAAGTCAATAGGTAATTAATGGTTTGGCACTTTCTTGGCCAAGTATCTGGTAGGTAACGGGGGGGGGGGCGCTTCTCCATAAAAATGAGGGAAATGTAGCAGCTGACGTGTTTTCAAGTAGAGAACTGATGAGAGGATGGTGCTTGGACGGGAGCCTGCTTTGTATGTTTCTGCTCTGGCCTCAGCCTCTGTGTTACTTTTGTTCTATTGGAAGCTTAAAGCCTCCTTTTAGGGTCTGGTTTGAGTAGATGGTTCTTAGAATAAACAGGTACAGCACCCAAGAAAACTCCTCATGCCTTTCAGAATGCTGGCACCGCCAGAATGCTTTACCCCTCATTGACCTTCTGAGCTTCTAGTCGATTTGAGATTCTCTCTCTTCTCTGATGGCTCTATATCATTTGTTCAGGTGACTTATCTGGTTGGCTGCTATTACAGTGCTTTTTGAAGTCTCCCTGAGTAGAGCAAAGAGCATTAAAGTATGTGGCTGTTTGTCAGGCATGAAACAGGAAGAAGAGAGCCTCTGTAAGGTCTGACCAGCTGAATTTTTGCTTATTAAAGATAATAATGAAGAAAAAAAGATAATAATGAATGTGTTCTCAAAGTTACCATGAACCCATAATACCCATATATCACATAAAGTCTCAATTTGGAATTACATAAAATTGTAGTTGCTTACTGTGTTTTCAAATCTCGTTTACACGTGGATCTGAATCCCAGCAGCCTCTGAATCTCTCTCCTTCTTCCAAACTCTCTCTTCTCTTTTGCATTTTCTTTATTATGTGCCTAGACGTCAGCTGGTCTCTTCCTGCTCCTCTTGCTCCTTTTCCCTTTTCCCCTTCTCACCTCTTCTGTCTCCTTTTTCCACCATGAGTTATTTTCACAATATACCCTAGCCATCTGACCATTTGCAGAAAATTCCATTTATTATAACCCACTACGTCTCATGCAGCAGCCTTTCTTGGTACACATTACTAAAAGACTTCATCAAATAAGTTTGGAATAGTATTTGGAATGACACATCCCAAGTGGCAAATGATGAATATTTTCAAAGTTCTAAGTATAGAGACACTTTTCTTGCCAAATGAATCCAGAAAGTAAATTTTGGCTCCATATTTGTTTTATACTCCACTCAAATACTACCAGATGGGAGAAGATTAAAAATAACCCCAAATGCCTTCCCACACCCACCTCATCATAAACAATCCTTCACTGTGAAAAGCGGGGACCTGGGACCTGCATACCACGCTCATTCAACTTTCTGTTTGGGTAGGAATTATAGATGAACTATCGTTTCTGAAGTTGTCACCTTTCCCCAGACTCTGAAAGAACCAGCAGGGCGCTCTCCTCTCATCTTAAGTGCTGAAAGAACCTTCGCGGCTTTAGCTACAAAACGTTTTCCTTTGGCGCCCTCTAGAGGTTCGAGTGTCCTTCCCAGATCTTGCAGGAGGATGAAGTAGAAAATTAGCTGTCGTTAAAAAAAATTTTTTTTTAATCTGTGATTTTTGCATAGGTACTGTTTAGTTTCCCTTGCGTGGTGATACAGAAGGCAAGCTTAAAGCCTGCTAATGACCTTGCACAGCAACTGAAACAAAGTCCGATCTCCTTGCCGCGGCGCACTGGGTCCTCTGCGTGCTGGTGCTGCTTCTCTCTCAAATGATATTGTCTTCTCTTCTACTCCTCAGCCTCCAAATACACTATCTATTTTCCTGTCTTTCAAATATCCCAAGCTCTTCCCCACTCCTTAGGCTTTGTGCCTGCTGCCAAGAGCAATTTTTCCCATGACTGACACATCCTCATTATTCCAGACTCAGTTTCAATGCCACTCTCTAGTACATGACGTGTCTTATTTTCTTCAGAGGACATACACCATCTGACGTTATCTTATTTATTTATATTTATTGTGTTTCTTCCTCCACCCCACACCCTCACAAGACTATGATCACCAAGTAAAGGCAAAGACATTGTCTGTCACGTTCATCATTTTACTAGAAAAAAGATGCCAGCCACGTGGTAGACACACAACAGTCCCTGAATGAGCAAGACTAGTCATAGCATAGGCAACATTATAAAATAGCCAAGTCCCCCGACATTGTGTTGCTGAAAGCTTCCTACACACACACACACACACACACACACACACACACATTAAATGTATGTAAGGCAGTCTTTTACACATAAACACCTTTGGAGAAATCAAAGCACAATAATAATTCTTTATATTTGTGCAATATTTTACATGTAACCTAGACGCTTTACATACGTAACCACTTCTAATGATGGCAAATAGATGGTATCATTCTTCACTTTCATTTCAGAGAGGAAATGACATGTTCTTAGGAACTTTCAAGGGACATCCCAAAGGTGATGAGCCTAACAAGTAATGAAAGCAGGATTCAAATCCTAGTTCCATGCTAATCATTCTTCTAAAAACCAAAGTGTTTGAAATGACTCAAGAGCGAGGGGTATTTGTTCCACTACTCAAGAGAGTAACACCCACTACAGCACATGAATTAACATTTAATGAAGAAGCCAAAGGGCAATCACGGGAGACAAGTGATGGAACTGCTGGGAATAGACTCTTTGTAGCTGGTTCATCGGCTTGCTGGATGATGGATATAAATCTGTCAACTGAATGAAGATCGTAAACCCTGGGATACTTTCTCTCTACGTTAATCACGATTCCCATTAAGAGGATGGCTCATGTTAACTTAGCATTTTCAAGAAGCAGGAAGCTAGAATGAGGACACAGTCAACACACCTTGGCAGCTGTTTCACTTCACTGAATATGCCATTTTCAAAAGTAACAAATGCACCGATGATTGCCTTTCCTAATCCAAGCTTGAGAATCTGCTTCTCCCCTTTCCCCCTGGAGGAAAATTATATCTGTTGCTTGACAGGGTAACAACCAAGCTGCAAATCTCTGCAGATACCCTGTGTGACGAGACAAAACCCTGTGTTCACTTAGCTATCATGTGCTTTCCCCTGTGGATACAAGACGGCACCTAAAAGGGGTCGACCAGGAGGCTCTTAGCCATCAGCAAAGAAATAATTTATGTTCTCTCCACTTGGTGAACAGTTAGCTAAAGTCATGGACTTCCCATCCACATAGAGAGTTTTTGTCCGGGGCAGATGCGACCCCTTGTGATTTCCAGGTCTAAAGTGGCATTGGAAATACAGAGGAACCCTCAGAAGTTTCAAAGCTCAGTTGAAAGGCTTCCTTTCATTTCCACCCTGAGGAAGTTCAGCTACAGGTAGCACTGGGGCTGCAGTTACTCCTTCCTCAGGGAGCCTCATCCATTTCAAGTTCAATCAGCTTCATTATATGATTCAAAGATAGTAGTACTTCTGTCCAGATTCTATCTAGGACAGAGAATTTTTCCACATCTTACACAAACTGTTTATCCTGCCAGTTCAATTTCTCCATCGAAAAATTCATTGCAAAATGACATTATCTGGATAAACAAAATATTAACAATAAGGTTATATTTGCTAGATTCTTTCGCGGGATGGATACATCCTAAGCACTGTTGCTGTAATTGGCATTTTTACTCTATTTTAATTGCTGGTGACAATAATATGAGCTATCTAACATTTGAAACTCATTCTCATTCTTCAGCTCATTAGTGATAAGATGATGAAAAGCATTTACTCATTGGAAAACTGAGAAGTAGCAATATTTAACTAGAGAGGTTGCTCCATTATGCTTCCCTCTGGGGGACTGATTCCCAAATGTTACCGCTAGTGGCTAATTAGTCCTCTGTACCCCTTGGTGAGGCAGATAAGCCAAAGTGTCAGAGTGGAGGTGATTTCTCCAAGATAAATCCATAAGCAAAGGCAGCTAAGTATGCAAATCCAGGTGAGTTATTGCTCAAGGTCATGCTATCAGATTTGAATTTCCCAAGCAGCCCTTTCTTTCCTGTCTTACACACATCCAATGAAACAGCAGAGACTAGAGCCAGAAAAATGCATATTAAATCATGATCGTTAAACTTGACTAACAACAAGATGCTTTTAGCTTACCACCTGGCCTTTAAAAAATCCTTTGGGGGGAATTGCATCGTTTGTACCAGGTAAGGTAGT